CCCAGTAGGTTAAACATAACATGTTGGTGTCACACAAGGAATATGTTGTAAGCAGGCCTCGAATTTCCCTGAAATCAGTCGACGGCAATGGCGTTAAAAATTGCCGTAGAACGTAACAGCTGTCTACGGCAATTTTGGCAGTTTCCACGGCATTTTTTCAAATTACTGTAACAAAAAATTAATTTTATTGTTAATATAGTAATTTAGTGAATAGTATAAAAATTATACTATACGGCAAAAAATTGCTGTCGTTTCCGCAATGATCCACGGCATTTTGTACTCTCTCTACGGCAATTGCCGCGATAAAATTCGAGCCCTGGTTGTAAGGCTATTTTCATTTTGTACATTTGATTTTGTACCAAGTGTGTGCAAACATTCAAGAAAAATAAAAAACAATTGCTTGTCACAAAGTTTTATCCATCAGTGGATAATGAACAATACAGCATTAGTGTCTTGCTATGATTGACGATTATGAAATAAAATGATTTTGGTTCAGGAGTCAGACTACGATGCGAATTAGACAAAACAGTTGTGTAAAAACAGAAAAAGAATTTTCATACTGTACATTAAACTGTAGTCTGAAAACTTAAAACCCTGTACAATAGAATAGCCTTTCACATTTCGCACTTGTAGACACCAGTGTTCAGTTCAATAAAAAAATCTGGCACATTGTGCTTCCACCATCTAGCACTGCAACGCATAACACAGTGAAAAATATTCGAACCAGTAGGTTCAAAATTCAGTGACATTTCTATGTGGCCGAAATTTGGGATAAAACAACTACCTCTCTCAAGGCAGGAATGTAATCAATTACCGTTACTTTATATCAATTTTTGTAAATAATAGTTACAGTTACAAGTTTTAATACCTTCCCAAAAAAGTAACTGGTTACCACTACAGTTGCTCAAATTTTGTCTCCCCTCCCCCACCGGACGGCAGAAATTTCCTCCGTGGGGGAGTGTGGATCTTTTCTGGAACGACCCATTCTCAAAAGATTCCAGTCTGAAGACAATTTTGAATTCAAGCTTTCAAGTTTCAGTGTGTGTGGGTTGCCAACAGGGGTCGGAAACAATGTGAAGCGGCGGGGGCAGCCATTTCAAAAGGGCACTTGCTTCTCAGCCATAATTTTTCTAGGTGGCAACATTTGTTAAAACTTTACTGTATGGATACTCGATTACTTGTGGCTATTATGGGTCGAAAAACTTCGACATTAATTTTGAACAATTCTATTTGTTGCACCGTGCTAAGGGTGCAAAATAAAATCAGTAAATGGACTTATTTGCCCGATTTAGGATAAATATATATATATATATATATATATATATATATATATATATATATATATATATATATATATATATATATATATATATATATATATATATATATATATATATATAGTTTAAGATTTTGGTTTACGAAACACAAACAGTGCTCAATACCATATAGATAGAGCGTAATAAAGTTTTTCGTTTTACCTCAAAAACCACAACAGTCTGTTTCATCCGTATAGGAATCATCAGGTGGTGAATAATTTCGAAATTGTAGGTTGCTTTTATGCTATCGAAAGAATGTTCGGAATGCGTGTAGGCGAAACAATGCTTAGGTGAAACAATGCATGCTTGGGTCATTAGGTTTTGTTAACGACCTTGTTTACTCGAAACCGGTTTTTGTGACGACATTTGCCGAAAATTTCGCTTCTTTTATTGAGTAAATTGTCTTTGTTTATGTCTTTCAAAATGCAAAATTTTTCTTCCAAACATAAATTGCAGCGTTTTGATCCCCCTGTGTACGAAATAGCGTGTTTTAAAATTGACCATTTGATGGTATAATCCTGATTGTTTTCTTTTAATTTCCAAATATGTTTCGAAAGTTCCGTTTTGTTTGAGTCTTTTTTATGACGAAAAGATGAAGTGTGGTTAGCGTAACGTTCCTTAAATGTAGTCGCTGTCATACCAATGTAGTGTTTAGTGTCGTTCGTGTTGTTCGTTGTGACTGTTGCTTTGTAAATAATGTTGCTGGTCATGCATTGTTTCGGTAGTGGGCAAGTGTTTTTGTTGTCGCAGTTACAGTTGTCAGTTTCCGTATTCTGTGATTGACTGTTCCTAATTATATGTGCGTTGTGTTTGGTGATTATAGACTTAACGTTGTTCATGCAGCTGTAGCTTACTTTTAAAGTGTTTCTGTTAAAAATCTTGTGTAGTTTGTGCTGTAGTGGGAACAATCTCGTACCCAGAGCCATCGTTGAGTGGCTCTGGCCACACGAGTTGAGTTAATTAGAAAATACGGTTAAAGTACAGTATTTTCCAATTAACTATTTCGTACCCATTCTCCGGGAATTCGCGCGCGCCATAGTATTTTCAAGAGGAGTGGAGAGCTAACTTTTTGCTGAAAATATCAATAAAATCGCAATTTTTCCCGTCAAAAGCATTAAAATATGTTCGGCGCAGTTAGTGTGAACAACAAGGATACTGAGTGCACGTGTGATTTCCGTTTCACAAGTAATTTGAGATAATTGAAACACCGGCTTGTACACATGTCAACACTCATCGAGTCATCGGTCAAATATTTTGTCTCAAATGGCTTCTATTTCCTTCAAAATGTTCTGATTTCTTCTTAAGGTATAAGTACGTTTAATTATTTGTTATATAAATGTAATTTAATAACTCTCAGCTTTATTAAATAGGCTTTTCTCGAGCAAGAACGTTGCTTGTTGCACACTGCCTTGGTTGCCTTTAAATATTCATTAATTTGTTACAATTTATATTGTTCATGTCATTATTTTGTTTCAAGGTTAATTTTTTAACCTTGGGCTCTGAATTTCCATACTAATTGTTGTCTAATTAGAATACCACAAAATATATTGTGTACCCCCTAAAAATGCAGCAGATTTTCAGAAATTCTATAACATCCTGAGAGCTGATCATACCCAGTATTTATTTAATACTATTATACATGCATTATTATGAATCTATCATACCTAGGGAATTTAAAACCATAATGCTATTCTTTATACAATGATAAAATAAAGATTTTTTTCTCAATAAGGAAGGTCTGTACTGCTGTAGCAATTAAGCAAAAGCCTGTAGCAGTATACCAGTGTGTGTTTAATTTTTACTTAACTCGACTATTTTATAGCTTTAGTTTTACATTTCTTTCAGATACACCTGGGACTGCAAATGTGATAATCTTTTCATTATGTCAATACCTCCAGAAGCAATGGAGAAATCAGTCTCAAGTTAAAATTATAGTCCTCTATTCTAGATCAGTAAACAACTTGGCATGTTGCATTATAATGAAGAGTGTAATATAATGAAATACTCAAGAATGGAATAGTATCTATGGAGAAGTGCATTGCTCATTAATTATGTGATAAAAAGTAGTTACTGGTTAAAGAATCAAGAATCACACCTGGTCTGACTAATAACAATGTCCTGTTTGAATAAGTGTAATATCATTTATACTTTCATGCTTGTATTGCTTGATAGGCTGATGTGTAGAATGACACATTATTGAAATCAATAAAGGTTTTTCAGAACTTGCAATTCATTTTATGGTACCAGGGGAACCATATGACATCATTAAGTTTTCCCAGGGGTCCCTATGACATCATAATTATTAAATGGGAGAAGAGGTGTTTTACAATATATTACACTTTATTGCATATTATCTGGCACTGACACAACTCTTTGTGCTTTGGAGGCCCCTTTTCAGCTGGGCTTTTGCCTGCATGGCTGCATCCCTACTTTTAGCAGTCCTGAAATTGTTAAAGATGTATGAAGTTATATGATAGTTCACTAATAAACCTAAAATTTGGTTTTAGTAGTCTTATTCTGAAAAAGTAAAGTTGTTTTTGTTGAGCAGTGGACTTCAAATACAATTGTTAATTGTTGCACACTCAGTTGTCCATTACAAGAATGAACATCTTATATTTATATATAGTACTCCCTGAAAAAAACAAGCAGAAATTCAACGTTTCAAGCGAAGGCCCTTCGTCAAGAGTTAGTAGCCAACGTTGAGTTTCTGCTTGTTTTTTTTTTCAGGTAGTATTACTATATAACCACTCAGCACAGCAAGACTGTCGAATAGTTGACAATCATTTATTTACCAGTTTTATTGGCACCATTGTATAAATTGTGTAGATGGTTTCATATTATTACATACTGCACATAGTTTCATATTATTACATACTGCTATTATTAAAGACCATGTAAAGTCTGTTCTGCGCATGCGTTCTGCAGGCCTACATTCCAATGGTCGGGACCCGACCATTGGAATGTTATTAATATTTCGCACCTTCCAAACTTTCTTGAATTGAATCTCTAGTCTGTATTCATTTACAAACATAGCAAACCAGAAGAGTTAAAAATTCAGTATAATGCATATCTAATATTTTACAACTATAGCACTGGGTTCAGACTTCAGAATGTAAACAAAGGGTTTGTTTACTTTACATACTTTACATGGCCTTTAAATTAATGAAACCTTTTTGGGCTGCTATAAACACCAATGTTTCTGACAGAGTTGTACAGGCAATACTGTAAACAGAAACAATATATTGCATCATCAAACAATTCTATCAAACGAATTGACAAGTTGCAAAAGAATCCAAATGCTGTTTAATTGTTACATTCACACCATGATGATTCATACATTTACAGTTCAATTAAAAAATCCCAAATCTTGTATAAATACAGTCCTAGCATACGTGTATGCTTGTAAGTCTTGTACGCTTGAATTTCTTTTCAATAATAACACTCCAATATAGTAGATCAAGGACATATGCCATCATTCCCATCAATACTCACTCAGAGTGAACCAAGAGTATGAATTATTACCATAACGAAGGCTGTTATTTTGCCCAAATGAATTCAAGTATGCATAAATCAACTCCTTAATCCCTTCACCACTTTTTCGGACGAAAAGCAACAAAAAATTCGTCAAAATAAGCAACTTTTCAGGCCAAATAAAGCAAAATATATCGTATTCACTCATACTGGCCGCGCTCGTGAACGCCACAGGGGGTATGGGTTCAATAACTTATGGATCGACCAATCAGGATCGTTTTTCAATCCCGTGTGGCCAGAGCCACTCAACGATGGCTCTGGGTACGAGATTGTAGTGGGAAGTGTTTGTCAATTAAACTTAAGAATTCCCGTTCTATGTACATGTTCGTGTTAACGCTCTTACTAAATGGTGGGTTGAACCAAATTATGTTGCGTTGCCTATTCCTACGTGTCCGTTGCGGTGCATCCTGAGTGTACGTAAATTCATGGTCAAAGTTACTATGTCTAAGAGCGTTCTGGTAAATAGGTGTGGATTATTTAAATGTTTGTTCGTCCGATGAGAGAAGTGCAATGCGTTTGTTGATAGCTGTAGGTAATTGTCTTGTAATGCTTGGTGGATGGTTTGAGTGTCTGTGGATGTACAATGGATCGTCATTGGGTTTCCTGTATGGTTTGTGTTTTGCGTTGATCAGGTCGAAAGTAACATCTAAAAAATTTACAACGTTCATATTTACTTCGGCGGTGATTTTAAGTTCAAATTGCTCGAAAATTTTGTGTAGCTCTTTTCTAGTTTTGTCTAGTAAACGGGCGGATTTGCTTTTTATAATAGCCATGCAAACCATCATCTCTATAAAGTCCGATGTTTTCCTTGCCAAACCTCTTACCTAACTGATTTAAAATGAAAAGGCCTACCAGCTCACAAATTTCAGCGCTGTCGAAACTACCCATAGTGACGTCAAATAAACTGTTGCTTCCGTCTTTTTTTGTCCATAATTTGCCGTTGCCGAAAAGTAGAGATTTTCTTGCATGTTTTATTATTGAAATATCGTTTTCAGTAATAGTAGTCAAATCCGAAGCCCAGGCCAATGCTTCATTTAAAAGTTTTTCGGAAATAGATGGGTAAAAATCCACAATATCAAATGAAATAAAACTGTGCCTGTCTTTATCGTTTATATTGCCAAACCATGAAATTACTTGTTGCGTATTTCTCCATTGATTTGAATTTAGTTTTTGTCTCAAATTGGAATTAATTTTATCTAAAATAACCTTACTTAGTTTTCCGGATTCGCTTTTTGCGGGATTAATTAGTCGGCATTTTGGATTGTTTTCGAAATTTTCTTTGTGATCTTTTAAAGATATAAATGCTTCGCGTTTTTTCATTCGTTCAATTCTGTCGCCAATTCCTAACCTACTCGAAATTTCTTTCAATTTGTAGTCAATTTCATGTATGAAGTCCTCTGATCCATGTTTGTACGTTTTCGTGATGTTATCATGTAAGAGTTCGTTGTATGTGTTCAGTGACGTTTCGTAAATGTTTCTAGTTTTGTCCGCGAAAATGAAAATGTTGGGGGATGAATTAATTTTCTTCAAATCGTTAGCCAAAGATGTCTGAAATTGGTCTTTAGGACGCCGGAATTTTACGTTTTCAATTAGTTTTATCAAGTCGTCTTCGAAAGGTTTCAAAAGTGGAATTGAAGGAGGCGATTTGTTAGACGAAAGGCCGAAAAGGTTGCTTTGGTTTTGAGTCGTTGATCCTTTTAGGAAGAAATTAGCTTTCCATCTCATACGTTTTGTTACGCTTTCCACTTTTTCAATCAAATTATTTAGGTAAGCATCTTGTGATGGTATAGGAATATTCTTTAGTGAATAATCCAATCGAAATTGTCGCATGTTTGAAGTAGAAATAAAATGAATAACGTAGACAAGAGTGCACAACCGATTACCGGGTGCAAATATAGCTTAAGATTTTGGTTTACGAAACACAAACAGTGCTCAATACCATATCGCATGTTTGAAGTAGAAATAAAATGAATAACGTAGACAAGAGTGCACAACCGATTACAGGGTGCAAATATAGCTTAAGATTTTGGTTTACGAAACAC